CCCTATTTTTATTACTGAGCACAAAGATTGCAAACTCATTAGGCAAGGGACTGTCCTTTTGTTCTGTGTTTGTACAGCACCGAGCACAGCAGAGTCCTTGCTTGTGGCTGGACCTGCTAGGGGCTACCTGGCATAATAAACACGAGATGAATAAGATAGTCTTATGTCTTAAAGGCACTGATAATTTGGGCGGAAATTTTAAAAACAATGAGAAGAAAAGCAGCTGTGACTGATGCAGTGACATTCAGGAGGATACCTGAAGTCAGGGTAGATAAGCAATGTGAAGAAATAATTAAACCCAATTAGCTGGAGTTCTGGGAAAGAATGCAGGTAGAACCAGCTGAGACTGGCTGTTCAATAACTTCCACCCCCACAACTTCCTATCCAGCATATGCAGTCACATCTTTCATTGTCTGATTGCAGGGACTGGTTTCTCAGCAGGTTTCCAAAGCACTTTTAGGTACCACGGGCATTGCAGGGTAACAGAGTCGCTGGTCGGACTCAAAACCCATGGAGGCTGATGGACTGCCCCTTACTGAATCAATAAGGACTGGTGGTAGAGGCGATATCTTTTATTAGACCAAGTAATTTTTTGCAAAAAAAAAAATTCTTGCAATTTTTTTTTTTTTTTTTTTTTTTTTTTTTTTTGCAAAAATCTTGTTGGTCTAATAAAAGCTATTGCCTCTACCATGAGTCCTGACTGTTTTTCCTAGAGACCAATATGGCTACAACCTGGGTACCTTACTGAATCAGCCATGCCTATAGGTCTACGGGCAGGCACTGGATAAATGGCTTGATGACCCTGAAAAGGGATCCAGCATGTACCAGGCGGGGGAAAACGTCCTAGGGTCATCGTGCTCTCCCCTAGCACCCCCTACCGTGCCTAGTCAGTCTATGATGCACCCTCAATCTCGCCTGCCACGTCTTTGATGTCAATTATGTAATTAGGGAGGCTGCCTCTTCGGTTCCCTGGACATAGTTATCCTCCCATATATTAGCCCAGCTCCGCTAATGGGTGTTCCTGGGCACCCTGGCCTTATGGGCTATGCGCGGCTCCAACCACCCCTGTACCACGCCCCAAGTCTCGCTGATGGACCGGATGTTGTTTGGTCTATCTCACTCTCTGTGCCCTCTCTGGCAGTTGGGCCCTCCACAGCCTTGTCTCTCAGCCGCACCCCACAGGCGCTCAGGCTTTCTGCAGCCCCCTTTCTGCGGTTTCTCGCTGCCCCTTTGCTCTGGGGTTACCGCAGCCTTGGGGCTCAGGTGGCCGTAGCCGTGCCTGGCCCCAACTCTCCTCCTCGGGGTCTTGACCCCCCACTGGGCTCAGGCAGCCTCAGCCTTACCTGGCCTCCAATTCTCCACTCCCCTTTTCCTCAGGACTGGGGTCAGTGCACCCCTGGATGCTGCGCCTGCTCTGGCACCGGGGTCCCCACGCTACCGTGGAGCCCCTATGAGGCCTCCTCCAACCCCTAATAGCCTCACCCGGTGCTCCAGTTAAACAACAAACACAAAACACAAGCCTCTGCACTACAACTTAAATGCAGACCTCATGGCTAAAACATCCTCTGGGTCACACCACAATTGCTCCCTCTGCCCCTCGTATCACCAGCTGCACCCACCTTCATACTTTCCCCTTTTTCCACTCAGGGCATAGCTCCTTCTCCTCTGGTCACAGGCAGGGGCCCGCTTGCCTGGCCTCAGCCAGGCCTGCCCCTTCCAGTCAGCTGACTCAACAGGTGTGAGCCCCTCGCTCCTCCTGGTTGCCCCTGGGTGGCCATTCCTACGCTTCAAGTAGCAGGTACCTTAGTGCCCTGATACACAGCACAAATGCAACTCCCAGTTAATTGACCCGAATGATGCTGGTAGGACTGGTTCTTCAGCCTGCATGTTTAAATCGGTGCCACAGACTCAGTGATCTGACAGGCAAGCTGGGTACATACGTGGTCACAGATAATCAAGCTTCCTATGCCAGCTTGCCTGTTAGCTTGGTAGCCCACAGCTTTCACCGTCCTTAATAATGTGTTTTTCCTCCCTGCATCCCTGATATATTTTACAGATGGGGCACAGAGACATGGAGGGAAATAAGTGACTTGCCCCAGGTCACAGAGGCAGTCTGTGGCAGAGCAGGAAAGAGCACACACGTCTCCCAAGAGCGCTGTGTTGTTAATAGTAACAGAAGAAGTACTCATAGATATAAATGAAGTCATGCGTGCCTACATTTGGCCGTAACGATAAACACCTTAAGGTGGGGGGGTGGTTCTGCTCATACTAATGGCTGATATTGTTTTTTCTCATTTATTGATGGGAACATTTTTTTAAGGGCGATTTGACTTGTAATTGTCTAGCTAGCCCAGGTATCATCCACATTCCCAGCATAGCATCCCTAGCCCGTCCCTGTTTAATGGACTGTTGCATCACTTAAGTCGCGCGTCTCAATTTAGTCCATAAACACAATGAGACGCGGATCATCTCTGAATGGGCGTGTACAGTGCCTGGCACAGTGTGGCCCTGAATCATACTTGTGGCTTCTTCCTGCTCTTGTAATCCCCATAACAAAGGATCATCCTTGGCACTCAGACAAAAGAGAGAAGGAAACAAAGGGCCCATGATAAATGCCTATAAATAAAAAACCTGAAGGAGAGGGAAGCATTATTTAAGGGGGGTTAAAACACAGCAGATGCTGGAAGAATAAAACAGAAGAGAAATATCCCAAGCAAAAGCGAGGAAAGGTTTGCAGACAGCAGAAAACGGAGCCTTTTGCACAGGGGAGATATCTGAGCTGGAAAGCCTGAAGAGTTAGATGGTGCAGTGGAAAGTTTTAAGACTTCAGTAAAACTGGGGGGAGTAGGGGGTCTGGTTTGCAAAGATCAGGGCACAGCATGAAGCCTTTGAAAGCCTCCTTCCAAGCTCAGAGGAGCAAAGGGAAAACTCCCGCTGCCTGCCCTGGCCGTCAGATGAGATTTTCTGCCCAAACCACCTCTAGCCACCGTCATTTTAGCTCATACACCACCTAAAGCAAGCTCAAAACCCCTGTGCAACAGGTAAGCAAACAGCTAGCTAAAGAAGGAGGGTCTCTGGGGGGCAAAGGGAATAGTCCCATTGCATCTGTAACCACCCGTCTTTGCCTGATCCCAGAGGGTTTTTTGGAGCACACCGCACAGTGCAATAACTCTTGCCGTGGGCTGAGTTTTACCAGAGAAACTGGGACATGCCAACTCCCTTGTCCTGAATTGGCAGAAATTGTGACGCAGTTAGCTATTATGCTAAAAACTAAAATCTAGAACAAATGGAGACTTCTGAGAAGCTGGATGGCTGCTTCTCGCTACAGACCCCAGGGACTTGGCCATGTCTTGGGAGCATTAGAGTTGCCATGCGGGGTCAGACCAAAGGTCCACCTATCCCGGAGTGGCCAGTATCCCCATTTCCTGCACTCAAGTCCAAAAGGTTGAAAGTGAATTAGTTGCCTTTTTTTCCTGGCATCTAGTGATGGTCTTGGGTTGGCTCACATAATGCATCAAAGGAGAAACACCTTGCAGTTACCTTAGGAGAATTAAAAATAGTCCCGCTAGCAAGGCAGTGCACAGTGGGACCTTGTTGTGTCGACCGCCCACTGGTTAACAGCCAGAGCCTGTTCTTTTTAGGCTTCGCATCAAACCAAAGCCCATTTCACAGATGCTTTTTCTCTTTGGAGACCGCCTCGTCCAGGCTGAGACACCCCCAGGACTATTACTGCCAGGGAATCAACTAGTGGTGCCCACCGGACCCTGGGATTGCGACTCTGTCGCCTCGATAAAAGCACAACGCCCGATCCAAGCCTCCTTCTGCATTCAGTGCTGCAACTTAACTAGATGCAATGCTTTTATTCCCGATGGACTCCGCTACCCCTGAGAGCAGATTCAAATGCCAACTTCTTTAATGGATGAGACAGGCCAAAAGCAGCTGCAAGGAAAAGGACGCTGAGAAGCATGGCCCCCCCATGTTATGGGTCCCAGTCGTCGGAGGGCATATAAGAGCTCTTTGTACAGACATTATAAGTGACCAGCCCCTGGTCTATACGTGTAACAGAAGTTCAGTACATGCAGACTGGCTTAAAAATGGCAGAGCCCAGCCCAAAATTTGCTCACCAAACTACAAAAAAAACAACGTAACTTTGATCAATTTTGCCTTGGGCTTTTTGAATGTCTGTGCCTAGGAGTTGTCTGGGCAGGACTTTGAGGCTAGCTACCATTCCCCTCCCTCCCCTGCCCCGAGATCATGCAGCGGATGGACTGGACAGGAGACCCAAATCTGATCTCAGGGAAGGCGAATCCCTCCCTGTGCCTGATCCCAGCTATTTTTATCCCCTTCCCAAGCCGCAGCCCAGCCAAGCCACCACCTGCCACCGACCGCTGATGCTGAAAAGCCTCCCTGAATCCCTGCCATGTCTAGCTGCTTCCCCCCGCTCTCTGCCTCCCCTTCTGCGTTGTCTTTGTCTGGCCCAGAGAAATGGCTTCGAGAGTCTCACCTGGCTCCACACACAGGACCGCAGCCAGCAGGGCAAAGAGGAAAGTCTTCATCTTTGCTAAGCCTTCAACAGAGCGGATAAGGCAGCTGCTCCTGGGGGGAGTTTGGGTGGCAGCCTCTTGCAAGCAGAGCCTGCAAAGCCAGGATGACTTGTGGGAGGGGACTCCAGGGTGATGGAGGGGGGGAGTCTGCCCACGTGAATGGCTTTTTTTTTTTCTTTTTCTTATGCTTTAAACCTCTTTCAAAAGCAGCCAGAAGAAAAGCAGGCGGTGACTTGCGGGCAGGAAATTCAAAGGGGCTTGTTTCGTTTCTCTTCTCTGACACCGGTGTCCAAAAATTAGAGCAAATGCCAAACGCAGTGTGCATGCCAGAGGTTTTGCTGGAACAAGGCAGCTCTTCCATTGCACAAATCCAAGGCAATTGCACAAATCACATTCTTGAGCTGTTGCCAACTCAGACCTCCCCCACCCCACCACCCTTTGGTTAGGATAGAAACCGGGGCACGGACCCCGCCTCCCCTCCAGGAAATAAAGATGTGGTATTAGAAATGAGAGAGATGAGGAACTGCAGGACCCCCATGCAAAAACGTCGCATGTTAGCAGAACAAATCTATCCCTTACACCAGGCCAGGACGTAGCGAGCTCAGGGCTTTGCACCGGACAGAAGGGGCCCATGTATTGCACCCCAGGTGCAGTGACCCTCAGGTCCTTTCCAGCCCTGGGAGCGGCCCCGTTGCAAAATTGGGCTGAGCACAGCTCGATCGTCCAGTCTGTGTGGCTCGACCATAGGGCAAGTCTGCTCCTTCCCAGATCCATGGGTCGGGGCCAGACAAGGGAACCGGGGAGCGGTCTAGCTGGTGGGTGGGGGCCAGCCTGGGATACCCCCGAGCTTGGCGGTTCTGCCAAGGCAGCTGGTTTTTGACAGAAATCTTCCCAAAAAGAAAAATGATAAGTTGCTCTTGGCTTTTTCCCCACTTAGGACAAAAGCCCCTCCACGCTACCCCTTTTCCCCCCACCCAAGCTGGGCTTTGCCCTATGGCAGAGCTCATGGGGCTCATGCCAAGCCCCCTGGGGTGGGAGTTTTCCCCCTTCTCTTCACAGGAGCGCAGGGATGTCCTGTGGCTCGTCCTATCCTTTCTGCTGAAAAGATCCCTGCCAACTTTTTTTTTCTTTCTTTCTTTGTTTCTTTTTTTTTTCAAAAATATGTATTTCTACATATAAAAATAAATATCCATACATAACTCCACCTCCAACAGTGCCTGTGGTTTACTTGGCAGGTCAACACAACCTTTTTCACGTGCAGAGCCTGGCGCTGGGCATTTATCAGAGCCCGTGCATTGCAAGGGAGGGAGGCCCTGTTTTATTTGCAGCCTGGCCTGCTCCTTCTTCCGTGGCTTCCCCCACCCCCAGTTATGCAGGCGTCCCTTGCTCTGGCCTCTCCCAGCTTTCCAGTGATTTACAACTTCCCCCATCCTTTCCTGTATTGTTTAGGTGAGAAGCCCTGCTCTTTTCTCATTCCAAAAACCACCATCAAAATCCCACTGAAATATAAATGGGGTCAGGCAGCTGCCATTAACCCCCGACAGTCCCAACTTTGGTACTTGTGGCATGTTGGTGCATGCAATTAAAATACGCAGTCTAGATGATTTCCCGTGCAATTGTTCTTTTGCTAGTTTTCAATGCACTTCCCCTTCTGGCTCCTTCCTTTGTTTTTTTTTTATTCTGCTTCAGGGACTTTGACAAGGTCAATAGCAGCGCAAGGACTTTATTTCAGGTTATCAAGAGACAGTCAAGGAAAACCCAGCTGGTTTTCCTAAAACCGAACCTGAAAATAGGGGTCAATGTATGTGTCCCGTTGGCGTACAGTAGGGATAACGTGGTGCCTTGGTTTGGGGGTGTTATGTAAGGCTTGCGTGGCAGGGGCTGAGGAAGGAATAGCATGCTCCACGTTGCCGTGCCCCCAGAAGAGATGCACCAGCCCCTGCCTTTTCCTCCCCTCCCAGCCCCCTGGCAGACTGGTTTCTTCTCCTCTCTGCTCCAGAGCATGGAGGAGAAGCAGATTTATTATTTTTTTAAAGGAAAAATGTTCATGTCCCAAGTCAAATCAGCCAAATTAATTCCAAATCCATGTGAGTCATTCAAGGTTTTCCCCTGCCAGGAAGAAAACCACCTTCAGAGGAGGCCCAGCTTCAGGAAGGTGCTTGACACCCAATTCACCAGGTACCTGCCTGAAGAAGGGCGACTGCACCCAAAAACTTGCAAAGACCTTTTTTCCAGCTCCTCAATTGGTCTGATAAAAGATACTGCATCCACCCAACAAACCTCATCTACCAGCTGCAAGAAGGGCAGCAGAAGGGAGCAAGGGCAGCCGCTCTCTGCTTGCCGGGAGCATGGGGCAGTCTCTCCCCAAACCCAGGAGCCACTTCTGGAGACATCTCTTCTCCCCGTAACAGGCCTGTGGATGCCCACAGGCCCCCACATCTCACTTCAACACAAAACAAGGCCATGTCTTCAATTGCTCAAAGCCACACGGGTGCTACGTCCTCTAGCGAGACTGAAGGATCTGAACCCCAAGACCTCCAGGCCTGGGCTTGGCATGCAGGAGGCCTGCCTGGATTTGGGGAGTATCCGAAGCCCCGGACCGATAGGTCTGGGAAGCAGGATAATTGCCCGCTGGTAGAGCCAGGCAGACTTGAGGCTGGAGCTCTGCTCAGTCGAATTTCAGATGGGGCTATTGGGCTTTGCCCGGCTGCATTTGGCCATTGCATTTGGTGGTATTGCAAGGAAACACTGGTGCTGCATATTTTTTCGGGCACCCCAGCGGAGGCAGCTTGTGCCTGGCATGGGCAGGCAGAGACGTCCCAGCCGCCTTTCAGCCGGAAAGCAGCTGAGAAGTAATCTGTGCAACAGCAAGGAGGAATGGCAGCAGGGTGTCAGGCCTAAGCCCAGATGTCTGGGAACAGCAGGGAAACGGGGAGTTGCGATGATATGCATGTCCACGGGGAAGGGGCCCTGTGCTGCTCCATGCACTTGGAGGATGAGGAGAGCAGCAAGCAAAGAGCGAAGGCCCCACACAGCACTGGGCTGGGGCAAGAGGAGGGGAAGGGGGGAGATGAGAGGAGGACTGAGCTGCTAGGGGACCCTTGGACACCAAGTCTGCCATAAACCCACCCCATCACCTGCCAGGAGGGCACCCCACACCCAAGCCGAAGGTCCTGATCCTCTTGAAACGATTCCACCATTCACTGATCAATGGTCATAGTCCATGAAACTATGAAACTATGAGAGGAGAGATGGCAGGGATGCAGATGGCCCTAAATTTGGGCCCCCTCCTTGGAGGGGACAGCTTGGGGCTGGAGGTCCCCATGCTTTATACGCAGGGTAACAGCTTTGCCCAGTCACCCACGTTAGACAACTTATGGGAAGTTCAGCGCCCTTCCAGCCTTCCTCTCTTCTGCTTCCTCCGCTCCCACACACCCCTGCCGTGCTCTGAGTTACTTTTTGCATGGAGCCGTTAGCTCAAAATAAGCCTCAGACAAATCCCCCAGGCTGCTTATTTTAATAGCACAAGCCAATGTTTTCACACCCCAAATCCAAGGTCCCCGTGACTCACCCTCTTTCCTTTTTTTCAACAGGAAGAGCTGTGAAATTTGGAGCCAGCCAGCAAAGGCAATCATCCTTTGGTTGAAAGACTGCAGCATATTTCGTTTTATTTTTTGCAGGGCAAGGGGGTGGTGATATCTCCCGCGAGTTCTGGTGAAGTCGGAGAGGGCCAAGGCCACTGGGCATGTGAGAACAGCATCCTCCCAATATTGGAGGCCATCCACGTCCTTCGGGTTAAGGAAGCACAGCTTGAGAAGAGCGCTGGGCTTAGCCCCAGCAAAGCAGCTCTTGCTTCAAGCGCTTCTCCTCCCTGTTTTGTCCAGCTCAGGATTTGGATATGGCAGTAGGTGAGGAGTTGTGTCCCAAACTTCCCATGTGAGTCCATTATTCCCAAAAGGACCGAAGTCCAAGAATGGACCCTGCCCCTGTCCCCCCCTACGTCCTTGTGCACCCAGGTTTCCCCCCACTGCTCTGCACCTGCCCAAATCTCCTCCATCTCGGCCGGACCGAGCACCTTGGCATCTATATCCACCATTTCCTCCTGATGGGTGCTCTCAGACCGAGCCTCGCACACCCCAGCCCGGTCAGGCGCTGCATGGACCACAGCAGCCAGGACCACTGCCCTCCATCCAGAAATCCCATGACCCCAGCTTCGATCCTACGACCCCAGCTGACTTCCTGCCCTTTGGGCAGGGGGCTGGACTCAATGATCTCCTGAGGTCCCTTCCAGCCCAAATGTCTATGAAATCTATGAAATGCGGGGCTGGATTTGAGTCCCTCTGGAGCTGGAGGGGGTCCACACTCATCTCCCAGGGGGATGCTGTGTTCACCGGGCCGCTCCGGGTGGGTAGGGGCATCCCACTTGGCAGAAGGACCCAGCGGGAGGGAGGGAAGAATAAATGCAGCCAATGCTTCCCTTATCTGAGAGAGGGGTGGCTTCAGTCCCAGCCTCAAGGACTGTTTATGGCAATGTGAAATGCAGGAAGGGGCCTCAGAGCAGGGTTGAGAGCTCGGGATTTCCCCTTTTCCTAGTGCAGGATCCAGCCCCTGGGCAAACAGAGCCTGGCTCCCCTTTGCTTGCTCCGTGTAGCCTAAAGGATGCCGAACTCTTCCTTGCAAAGCCACCACCTCCCTTGTCCCCTGCTCCTGGAAAGCCTGCAGCTAAGGCAGGCACCCAGGAAGCGGAGGCGGTGGGTTTGGACTTGGGGCCAGGTGGAAATTTGGCCCCGATGTCTCCCTGCAAGATGCAAGCTGTCTGTGGTCAGGCCGGTCCATTAGAGCACGCTTTGACATAAGGTAGGAGAAGGAAGTGAAATCAGGTGTCTTATCAATCATACCCAGGGGGCTTCCACATCCCTAAACAGCCACCCAGCTGCTGTGGCACCAAAGATCAGCAAGGTTTGAACCCTTCCCAGCTTCCTGCCCCTGTCAAATCGCAGCCTCCAAGCCTCTGCCCACTTTGAACCCCCTTCTGCTGTGCTGCCAGCTGGGACCCCCAACAGATTGGGTCTGTTTTAGGTTAAAAACAGACCTGGGATTTCTCCTGGGATGAAGCTTTTTTAATCTGGGATCCTAGGAACCCCTTCTCCCA